AACAATATATGAACCCTGATTGAATCTCCTTTCAGGAAGAAAAACAGCTATAAACACTTTAGGAACGACTGGGTAAATATGAATATGAACTGGATATTAGATAATATGGAACTATTGCTAATTTTCTTAGATATGATTATGATGTTATGGTTTTGTAAGTAAATGCATTTAATCTTAGGATGATCATGCATTTAATATTAGGATGACCATGCTGAAGAATTTAGAAGCAAAGTGACATGATGTCAAAATAGGTTAACCTGCTTCCAACTAACTAAACACTGCTAATGTAAACTTTTATCTTAGCAACAGAAATTAGAGTAACTTGGAAAATTTTAGGTAATTGACAAAGTAGAGAAGTACTTTTCTGGCATAAGTATAAATCATTTGACTTAGTGACATTTTAAAGCAAATAATTAAATTAATGCTCTGGCTGTCCTCTTCCCAAGCTCTTCAGGTACAGAATAAGGTATAATATATATGGTAACACTATCAATTTTTAATATGTGACCTTGAAGTAAATTAAAGTTTTACTCGAAACATTCCCAAGGTGCCATTGTGCTGATTAATTTACAGACTGCAGATACAAATAACTGCATTTAAGGGAATTAAAGGAAATCATTCTTAACTATAAATTCTGGGGAAAAAAGAGTTCATGATGTTTATTGTTTTACTTCAATTACTAGTAGGCACTGTTTTCCTTCTCAAGCGTGATGCATAGCTACAAACAGGGATGTATTTTAAAAGCCATTATATTATCCCATAACCATTTTCTGTCCCTTTCCATCCAAGCACAGAAGCTAAATCAGGTCCAAATGAAACGCTATTATTCCTCCAGGAGTCATCCCAACTGGAATACCAACTGGGGCTTGTTTTTCTGAAGTTTTCAAAAATCCTAAGTAAACAGAGGTTGGGCTTTGGAGTTAGGCACACTTATGCCCCTAGTTTGGACAGACAACTTAATTTTTAAAACAATTTTGTTGAAGTTACAAGGTGTAATATAAGTATCTCAAATGTACAGTTTGGTGATTTTTAGTAAATTTAGCTATGCAACCATTACCAAAATCTAGTCACCTCATAACATTCTCTCATGCCTGTTTGCAGTCAAACCCGGCTCCCAGCCCCAGCAATCGCTGATCTGCTTTCTGTATCTACAAATTTTCCTTTTATAGAAATTTCACGTAAATGAAATTGTACAATGTGTAGTGTTTTGTATCTAGTATAATGTTTTTTAGCTTCATCCACGTTATATCATGTATTGTTTCATTTTATTGCCAAACACTATCATTACATGGACATACTACATATTTTACTCATTCACAGATTGCTGGACATTTGTATCGTTTCTACTTTTTGCCTGTTACAAGTAAAACTGCTATGAATATTTGTATACAAGTCTGTGGATATGTGTTTTCATTTCTCTGGGGTATGTACCTAGGACTGCAATACTGAGTATGACAATTTTATGTTTAACTCTTTGAAAGATGATCACACTATTTCCTAAAATGGCTGTGTCACTCCACATTTCCACCAGCAATGGATGAGGGTTCCAGTTTCTCCACATCATCACCAACAGGTTATTTTCTGTCTTTTTAATTATAGCCATTCTAATGAATATCAAGCACTATCTCTTTATGATTTTAATTTGAACTTTCCTAAGGATTAGGGATGTTGAGCACATTTTCTTGTGCTTATTAGCCATTCATAAATCTTCTTTGGTGAAATATACATTTGTGTTGCAGCCTCCCTAGGCTGGGTAGGTCCACTTGAGACTCAGGTAAACGGAAGAAAATGCGTGGAGCCGTGGGGATGCTTGACATGCCTTCATTAGGGGGAGTCACACCGGCCACAAGCCCATGTCTACTTTGGCACGCCCCAAGAAGTCCCTACCTTCTTAAATACTAGAAAGAACACAACCAAATACGAGCCAAATAGTGAGGTAACCTAGCATGAGCTGCGCATGAGAGCCTAGTCATGGCTAAGGGGCAGTTTTTCGCACCCAGAATCAAGGCTATGAGAACACTTCTTTATCAGACTCCTTCAAGGTTGTGAGAAGCTACTCCCCCTACTTACCTGAGAACCTGGGTGAGGAAGCCAGACTGCCTCCACTTACCCTACAACATTCAAATGTATTCTTTTTAAAAAAATATTTATTTACTTATTTTGTAGAGAGAGAGGAAAGGGGGGAGAAAGAGAGGGAAACATGATGTGTGAGAGAAACAGCAACTGGCTGCTTCTTGCACGCCCCCAAATGGTGACCTGGGCTGCAACTCAGGCACGTGCCTTGACTGGGAATCAAATTGGGGACCTTTCGGTCCACAGGCCTGCACTAATCCACTGAGCCACACCAGCCAGAGCTACATTCAAATATTTTGCTCACTTTTAAATTGGACAGTTTGTCTTATTATTATATGTTTTTAGTGTATTCTGGATATAAATTCTTTGTTGGATATGTGATTTGAAAATATTTTCCTCCTATTCTATGACTTGCCTTTTGTTTTTTCTTTTTTTTTCTTTTTAAGTTTTATTTATCCATTTCTAGAGGTGAAGGGAGGAATAAAGAGAAAAAGAAGGGGAGAGAAACTTCGATGTGAGCCCGGCTAGGTAGCTCAGCTAACTAGAGTGTCATCTTGATAAACCAAAGTTGAGGGTTCAATCCCTGGTCAAGACACACATAGGAGTTAACCAATGAATATATCAATAAGTGGAACAACAAATCGATGTTTCTCTCTCTCTCAAATCAATCAATAAATTCTTTTTTAAAAAAAAAGAAACATCAATGTGAGAGAGATACATTGATCGGTTGCCTCTCACCTACCCCCAACTGGGTACGCAGCTGCAAACCAAGGCAAGTGCCCTAGATTGGGAATCGAACTGGTTACCACTTCGTTCACAGGCTGGCACTCAATCCACTAAGCCATACCGACAAGGGCTACTCAGATTTCCTGATGCTCTTGTGAATGAGATTGTTTTCCTAATTTCATTTTCAGATTGTTCACTGATGACATATATAAATATATTAATTTTCATATATAGATCGCACATCTTATAATGCTGCTAGGCTTTTTTTAAAAAACCCCATTTTATCATGCGTAAAATGGGGATACCCAGCTGGTAATGTTTTTGTGTGGAGTAATATACATAAAATCTCATCTGAAGTCTATAAATGAAGCCCACCTTCAAAAAAATTTAACCACCTAAAATCCCTGGCCACACTATCTAGAGAAAAGTGAAATGACTACAATGCACCTGGTATAGAGGCAGGAAACAGTTACCAAGAGTATTATCTCTGAATTTGCATAATCAAGAGATTTTGCTGCATATTCATTAGTGAAGTGAATATATGATTGTTGTTGTTTTCTACCATCTGCATGTACCATTTTTATAATTAGAAGAAAACCATAGACGTTATTTCTTAAAAAGTAAATATTAAGCCCTGGCTGGTGTGGCACAGTGGTTAAGCATCATCCCACAAGCTGAAGGGTCACCTCACTGATCTCCATTTGGGGCACATGCATGGGCTGTAGGCCAGGTCCCCAGTCCAGGACATGGAACAGGCAACTGGTCAATGCTTCTCTCTCACACAATGATGTTTCTCTCCATCTCTTTCTCCTGCCCTTTGCCTCTCTCTAAAAAGAAATGAAATCTTTATTTAAAAAGTCAAAATTAGTACTTCAAAAGAAAAAAGGTAGGAACATTATAGGTAGAGAGCATGATTAAAAGTAGGAAACTAAAAAACAGTGAGGAAGAGAGCACAGAAATAAAAGAGTCACTATGGTCAACTGCTAAATTACTAAAATGTAGGCTGAGGCATGAGGAAATGATTCTGTCCTTGCCTTAACTAGCCTGGGGACTTAAACTTTTAAACTTTTCAGTTGTGTGTCAATGTATGGACGTATATTAATTCCATAGATAAGCATCTCAACTACTTAGGAAAGAATGTCCCATTATCCCGACCACTAGACACTTGGAAGATTACCATCTTGGACCAACCCAGCAGCTAAGAATGCAGGATTGATTCTTCTCAAGAATGCCCTTTTTAACTTTAAGAACTCTCAGCTTTTCTTTCTCCTTTGAAACACCCTGGATTTAACTACCTGTTTTTCATTTTGCAAACCCTAAGATCCTTGAGTGAATCTTTGTCCTTTATTTCTAGCTAAAACCTCCTGACTTTTTGAGTTTGGTTGACAATTGCTACCACTGAATGGATGCTTTTTTTATGCACATAATTTTATCCTTACAACCCAGAAAAAAAGATTTTCCCCACGCACAGAAAAGTGTATGTCCAATCAGAGAACTCTCGAGTTGCAGGGCCAGATTTGAAATCTAGGTTGTCTGATTTCAAAGCTGAGGCTCTGGGTTCAAATGGGTGCATGTACTGAAGAGGTGTGATAAAAAGTGGTGTTGCTCGAAGAAGAAAGTGGGTGTGCGATGAGGCTGGAAATGTAGGCACCCACTCTCACTTAACTAAGTGCAATTTAGGCAAAGAAGCTTTGGGCAGGAATTGGAGGTATAAACGCATGATTTCAAATAAATGTGTGTATCCATTCCAGATCTGTTCTCTGAAAAGGCCTAGGAGTAAGAGCACATGAAGCCAGGTTCAATGGTGTGACCCACAAGGACCTCCAAGTTTGCTCCGCATCCCGGCTGGCTTCGCCTCATTCCAAGCGCGGAGTCCTACCAGAGCCTTCTGCAGTGGGGTAAGCAGCGCTCTACACTCCAACGCAGCTTTAGGAATAAGGTGGCAACGGCCATCAGGTCAGCTTGCAACAACGCCCAGTTAAGCGCCGGAAACCAGAAACAGATGGCGTCACCCAAATGGGCAGGGACTGCAGTCGGAGTTGAGGGCGGGCCCCCGCGCTCCTCCATTTCTTATTGGAGCTGACTGCTGTCAGTCTCGGCCTCCTCTTTTTCCGTCCCAACCTTTTCCGCGCATGCCTTCTGTTAAATGACGGGCGGGGCGAGGTGGGACGGGGAGGGTCCGAGTAGTGACTTCCGGGAGAAGGAAGAAAGTTGTACCCAAGGAGGCTCTAAGGAGAGGGAGGAGGAGGAAGAGGAAAGGGCCGGGTGGTGGCTGGTGTAGGCGGCAGCTGTAGGTTGTTCGGCGGCATCGGCGATTCGTTTCCCGGCGGACGATGGACAGCCAGGGCAGGAAGGTGGTGGTGTGCGACAACGGCACCGGGGTATGATCCTCACGGGGAGGCCGCGGTGGCGACGGGTATGGGCGGGAAGGTGCGGGGGACGCGCGGGCTCTCGGGGTATGTACCCCAGGCCCTCGCGCCGTCGGAGCCAAGGGGTGCGGTCAGCTCTTCCAGCCTCCGTGGGCAAGGAGAGCAAGGTCCCTGGTCTCCCCGAGCCTGCCACCCCCTCTGCTCTCCAGGTCAGGGCGGCAGGCGAGGCCGGCACTGCACGGAGATCTTGCCTGCTGCCCAGCAGGGATCGGCTCCTTGCTCCAGCCGTGGCAGTTCGGCTAAAGGGTCGGAGGGGTGAAAGACTGGGTCTGTGTGTTCGAGAAGGGCTTCGTTCCCCCAGGGTCTCCGGTGTGTAAAAAGGGGAAAGACTTAGAGGCCTTCCTCTTCCTGTGTAGATACCGAACTGGAGGCAGGAAATGGGTGTAAAGAAAAAAAGGGAAGTGTTGTCAATGCAAGCCTCAGCCCTTACACAGTTTTGAGGGTTTTTTTGTTTTTTGTTTTCCATTTGTGGGAAGTGGAGGTCAGATCGGCAGTGCATAATTTACTTTTCGTTCTGCTAGCCGAGGATTTGGTTCACGGGCAGCCCTGCAGGGACCACCCTGTTCCATGAATGATCGGACTTCTAGCACCCCTCAGGGGGTCCAAGTGTTAATTCTACTGCCCTTGGGGGAAGTTAATCAGTTTTGGCACCCCCCCTCCTTTTTTTTCCCCCTTGGGTACAGATAATGCTAGCCTTTAAGATTCTAAAATGCAAATAATTGTAAAATCCGAGTAAAACATTGATTTAGAAAATATTTGAGAGTTATTTCTTTTAAACGCCATCCTCTCCTTTTAAAAAATATATTTTGGATAGCCAAGTCAGCAAATTAGAAGACAAAAATGTTACTTATTTTGGATGAGTTCCATAGTAATCATTTTCTCCTACATTACAGTGGTGTCTAACCATTTTGGAGTTGCATATTTTGTGACCTTTCTTCCCCTCCTTCCATAAATGTGACATGAATTTTAAGAGATTTTACTTGAACTTTAAAACACTTTACAAACTGGATTGTTGAGGGAGAAAAGACCTAATAATCACTGACAGAAAACTTTCCTTGATGGAATTTGTTAGACTTTTACAAACAGTAATTATACTAGCTTTATCTAAAATTAAGAATGGGCTTGAGTAACAATAGTATTATCATATAATGGGACATCCATACAAAATGGAATACTTAGAAAAAAAGAGGCAGATCCACTGCTATGGAAAGATGTCTAAGATTTATTGTTAAGTTAAAAAATACTTCCTTCTGTGTGTGTGTGTGCTCTTTGTTAAAGATATTTATGTGTTCACAAACTTGTATGTGTATATGGAAGTTTTGGAGGGATACATGAAATGTTCCTAATGGTTGCCTGTGAGAAGAGGGATAATGAAGTGATGGTAGATGAGGGACTTCATGACTCTTCCAAATTATTGGGAAAATGTTCTTTGTTTTTTAGCAAGACATGTGTATTGTTCAATTATCTTTTTTTAAATATTTTATTTATTTATTTTTAGAGAGGGGAAGGAAGGGAAAAAGAGGGAAAGAAACTTCAATGTGTGGTTGCCTCTCCCTCACCCCCCACTGGGGACCTGGCCTGCAACCCAGACATATGCCCTGACTGAGAATCAAACCGGTGATCCTCTGGTTTGCAGTATGATACCCATCCCATTGAGCTACACCAGTCAGGGCTAAAACATTTTGTTTTAATATGTTAGACATTTTTTTTAGAAATCTGAGCCAGTTATATTTTAATAGATCCCTTCTTTTTGAAAGGTAAAGAACCCTGTGTTTTTAATGAGTTATGTGATACTCAGTTAGAATAAGAATGTTAAGCACGAGCTCATTTTTGTTACTATTTCATTAATTTATAATATTAGGTAGCTGTTGTATATTATTGATTAATCTTATTTCCATTCATCATTTAAGAATCTTGTTCCTTAAGACAAAAGATAGTTACTATGAAATATAGAAAGAGTGTACTTAGTGCAAACAAAAGTGTATGTATTTGGTGTTATATTTCTTATTTTTACATTTTATTCGGACTTTCTATAGACATGACCAACTTCAAATGAAGACATGTATAACGTAGTCTTACATTTGAATACATAGTCATGAATGCTGCGATATTTCTGAAAATTTAGAGGATTAGGAACCACTTAGATTCTCCATTCTGTTTCATGGTCATCTTGATTTTATTCAGTTACCTGGAGTTATAATGATTCCTTTACAATTAAATATTAAACAAGATATTCAAATTTAATTTCCAAAAACTTGTAGGAATAGTTGTTACCCTAGAGCAATTCGCCTCTTACACGTTTTAGATTTTAAAATTTTAATTATAGGCAATGTGAAAAGTTGATATTTTTTAAAACTCTGCTGGCAGGCCCTAAAGCAAATGTTGTAAGGGTAGGGGAGTTCTTATGATCACACACCAGATGTTGGTCCTGGCTCCTCTTCCTCACTGGCCCCTCAACCAGTTTCTCACAGTAGAGCAGCCTAGAAGAGGAAAACTCATCCAGTTCCGTTAATGTACTTGCTTCATCCTCATAACTGTTCAAACCTACCACCTAAAATAGAGCCACCAAAAGCGGCCAGATGGGTGAAAATCTGGGAATCTGCTTAGGTTTAGGTGCCTTTCAAGAGTTCTGCCCAGGTGTCTGGTGTCCTGTATTCTGTTACCAAACTTGGGTGATTTCACTAACAACAATGAAGACAACTGTCTACTGCGTGACTGGTCGTTTTTAGGGTCTAGTGATACAAAGTAGCTTATAATGCTAGGATAATTATTTTCATTTGTAATTCTCATTTGTTGTGTATGACCTGCTTTATTAGGCTTATGCTAATTCATATGTCGAATTCAGACATGTTTGGAATAGAAATAAAAGCCAGTTTGGGTTACCCTGCAAAATGCTTTGGAATAAATAGCATAAATATTTTGGTTGTATAAGATCAGAAAAATCACTGTACAATTAAATTAATGCATCAGTACCAGCAGATACAAATACAGTAAGCTCAAGTGAAGCTTTAGAAATCTGTTTATTTTTTGAGATGAGAAAGGTACTTTTAGAACAAATATAGATGAACTTTTTTCATTTTTGCTTGAAAGAACATTATACTGTTCATGTTCTTACCATTTGATGACTCAGTAGGAAGTAAGAGAGCCAGTTTAAACCACAGTGCTATGAAGAGGAAGCTATATATGGTAAAAATCTATTTCTTAAACACAGCCTTACTGCACACAATGAGAGAACTAAGTCTCCAAGTCTTAAAATGATGAGTGGGGGAGGAATTTCAAAGGTTAAAATGATACCAGATGAGTAGTTCAGAAAAGAATATTTTATTTGCATTTTATCACATAATGGTTTAGATTTAAATTTTTAAAATACTGATTTTTTTTGCAAGAAAGGAAATGCCAGATTGTCTATTAGTTTATACTATTGAGAAATAGGTCGTTTTGGTTATATTCTTGTTATTATAGCTGTCAGTGCTTTCACATTTAAAATAATGTGAAATAGTGTGCTTATTCCCATTTTGACCTAATGAATATCTAATACCCTGTAGGAATGCTAGCCCTAGATTACTATGGCTGCAAATGCTTCCAATAAACTACTACTTTAGCAGAATAATTTAATTAACAAGTGAGTGATATCTTTAAATTAAAGGCCAAATTTCCCTTTTTTGTAAAACACAGGAATGGTAGGTTTTGGTTTTTGTTATTTAGGGGTGGAGGGTGTCAATTTTTGTCTACTTCAGGCACTTGGCAAATATTTTCTCCCTTAAGATATACTCAGACGAGAATTTTAAGATATGAACTTCCTATTTGAGCAATTATAATAAAAAAGTATTGAGTGATGTGATTGTTTCCAGATTTGCCACGTTGCATATTTCTGAATGTGTGGCTCAGAGTAAGGAGAGGCATGTCAGCCTTCCCGGCCTCCTCCCTGCCCCCTGCCCCGGGACTTGCCTCACGCCCCTTCGCCCCTTGCCCCCTTCCCAAGCGTTTTCTTCCACCTTCAACTTCTATTAAGATTCCTTTTTTAAGTGATTTGTTTACACTTAATATGCCAAAAATGGCCTTTACAAACTTAATGATTCTTTTTTCAGTCATTCATTTTATAATTTTCTTTAATTACATTTATATTCATATAAGTGAGCATTTTTAGCGTAGAGTATGGACACTTTCGACCCAGCCGGTTGTCCACATCTATTCATTACTTTGAGGTAGACATAAGAACTTAATATCCAGAAAGTGTTTACTTTCTATATTTGGAATATATGTATACATTAGGCCGGTTATCATGACAAATTTTATTTTTGTTGAAATTTCAGTATGGTCAGGATAATGACATTCCCTGCCCTTCCATATCATTTCATTTCATATCAAGTGAACTGGATTTTGACTTAAAAACAAAAGAGAGTTTATGATTTAGAAAAGAGTGTGAGAGGTTTCTTTTTCTTTTCATTTGATACACTAAAAAAATACTAGGTATTATTCTTTTCCTCTGTGATAATTATCTCCATCTTTTTCTGGATCGTGTTGATAAGTTTTTTCAGAAAACATTTTGGAAAAATTGGCTAGAGCTTTTGAACTCTGTTATTTCAACATTCTTTTAGGGTGCTTCACTATCAACTATTCAAATGGAGAGATACGAATGAGCAAGCAGGTTATTATTATATATGCCATTATATCACATTAACTTCTACCTTGAAAGGTAATTCAGTAAGAATTATATTAGAGTTTCAGAAATAGGTAGCTATACCTGAAAAATGACCTGGCCTTGGGGGCTCAATGGTAAACTGACTAGGACTAGGTTTTGTTGGTTTGGAAGAAAACACATCTGAATAGTATGCTTTATGTAGGTTCTAAAATATAAATGTGAACTGAGAGCATAGGAATTCAGGTGGCATTGGGAATGTGAAATTTACTAATTTCAGACAGATTTTTTTCATAAAAGTAGCTTTAATCTGCTTAAGTCATGACTACATATTTTAAAAGCCCTGTTTATAAAAGACTTGAAGTTCACTTGACATTGGATAGCAGAATGTTCTAGGCTATTTATAATTAAATGTGGTTCACAAACGAAATAAACATTTTATATTTTAGACAGTTAGTCAAAAGTCCATGAGTTTAAGATTTTTGCTGAGTTTTAACACCATCAAACAAAACAGTTCCTTGTACACAGTAGGTTTCTGTCAAAGAGTAGGTTGATAGTCTCTGCCCACCTTTGTGTTGTTACTGTTGGGGGGGGGTCACATTCAGATGCTGGTTTTCTCAGCTCTTCTGAGAGAAGGTGTGGTGCCTAGTGCCGTAGAACTAGACTTGTTTTCGTTATTAAACATATTCTCTATGTTAAAATAGTCATGCTATCATACTCTGAAATCAGCAGAATTTTTAATATTTGTGGATTAATTTATTTAATATGCACTTACTGTGTGCCAGGCACTGTTCTAGTCACTTGGGACTCATCAGTATACCAAAAAGGAAAAAAAAGAAAAAAAAAATCTGTGCACAATGGGGCTTACAATGAATAAAGACATGTTAAGGGGAGGGTATAGACTATGATTATTTGCCTTTCTTTTATAGCTTTTTCCTCTCACCCTGGCTGGTTGTTTTTTTTTTTATTTCTTATGTACAGACTTATTTCTGTTACAAGGATGTTAGTAATTATAATTATGATAGAATAAAAAGAGGGAGATGGAGGCTCTGGTACTTGGTTTTCAGAGCAAGTCACAGAGCTTAGGCCTCAGTCCCAGGCAGGGCAGAGCCGCCCAGTATGGCCCTTGCAAGAACAGGGAGTCCTTCACCTTCTCCATCAGAACCCAGTGAAGACAAAGGAGCCAGGTTCCCCACCAGAAACAGAAGGCAGTGATGCCGAATGCCAAAGATGCAGATCTCTAGCTCAACTCATCTCCACAAGCCCGTTCCCAGCCTCTGCTGCCGCTGGCCTGAACGCTTTCCCAGAGCTCCTCCGCACACAGCAGACGCCTACATTCTGGAGATGGGAGGGGTAGCACACAGGAGAGGTAACCTAAAAGCTCCCAAATTTAGGCCCCTGCAGGGAAGAGAATCACTTCACTGGTGGGTACCAGGTTTCCAGAGCCCTCTCTTTCCACCACGACCACACAGCACCAAAAAGCTATGTTGACAGTGTGTCAGAGATGGAGTCCTGGTGGCTGAGAGGCCATCAGCAGTATATCTGTGCTACCAAAAGGCAGCAGCTGAAGCCAAAACATTTCTCAACAGCCTCCCTGCTAACTCTTCCTTCCACCCTGAAGTTTTTAATTGCGTTTTTCTTGCAATATCTACTCTTAAAAATAATGCTAAACAGACTATATTATTGGTATAAGAATTGAAAAATCCTTGGTTCTATTTTCAGTTTTACTAGTTGTTTAATCTCCTAGTATACAAAACAGTTCCTCACGCATAAAATGGAAGTATCATTAGAATCAACGATATGCCCTCATTGGAGAAGTGCACTATCTGAATATGAAATTATGTCACCTGCTATGACTAAATAACATTTATCTAAATACTGAACTCCAAATTGCTCAAAATACCTAATCAATTTTAATTTTAACATGATGCTAGTCCAGATGCCATTTGATCTCTCGCATTTTGGAAAATGAGGTTGCTTCGGTGAACTGCTAGAGATGAATGGAAGTGTGCCCTAGAATTAAAACTTTAACTCTGTTCACTTTCTGACATTTCTCTCTCAAAAGCTCTTAGCAGTTGTTGAGTGCATTTGTCCATTCCCCTAATACTCCTTGTGTGACCACTGTGTGCAGGACCTCTTTGAAGCGTCAGGTTCCAGCATGACCTGCGCTGCTGGGCTCCCTGCTCTCTGAGGCTTTCCCTGTAGTGGGGGCACTGAGGCACTAAATAGGCAGTTGACTGGTGAATACACATGAGCTCCCCTAGTAGTCAGTGCCATAAAGGATGTAAAATGAGATGTGATAGATTGGATAACTAGTTTGGGTGATTTGAAACCACCAAAAGTTTAAAATATTGTATAAATGCAAAGTGATATTTTTCAGATACTGTTTTTAATGGATATAGTAAATACTTTGACTAACCCACTCTTGCTCTTCTCTTCCAGTTTGTGAAGTGTGGATATGCAGGCTCTAACTTTCCAGAACACATCTTCCCAGCTTTGGTTGGAAGACCTATTATCAGATCAACCACCAAAGTGGGAAACATTGAAATCAAGGTAATATTTTATTTATTGATAAATAAGCATCGAAACCTATGAAATGTTCTTTGAATTTAGTTTTAAAATATGATGCCATGAAAAGCAAAGAGGGAGGGCAGAATTTCGAATTTTTTTAATTTATATTAACACTTGAAGAAAGGCACAAAAACTGAAGTTAATTTCATCTGACTTAGAAGTATGGCTTGGTGCCATTACTCTCTGAGTGTAGTAAAATACTTAAGATTTTTATATGAATGTGAATTATAATTTTTTAAAGAAATCAGCCTGGCATTTTTATGTTTTTCAATTCCATATATTTGTCATATATGTTCCTTTGGGACCTTAGACTTTTCCTTCCCATGTTCTCATGGCCTGATCCCCATGCCTTTTTATATAGCTAGTCAGGAAAACTCCGGATGTAAATCTTACTGTTTCTTCTTTTCACTAACGGGATAACTGATTTCCATAACGTGCAGGAAGAAGCCGTGCAAGTCTTTATTTGGCCTTGCATTATTTATTTTAGCAGAAAGAGAAAGGAAGGAAGGCTATCTGTCATTGCCCACTCACTGTACTTGACATGGAGACTTCACCATTAAGAATGATGGATTTTTTTTTTCCATATTAAAGGGATTGGAAATAAGTGGGAATTATATTTTAGAAGAAAAAAGCAAATCAATCAAAAGGACTGTGGTCACCAATTGATTTAAATACTGTAGATGGCCTAGGGGTCAGGCTGTACCAAATGCAGAATTTTGGGGCATATTGAATTATTTGTAAACAAGCTAGCATTGTTGGTCCTACCTGGACAGTCTCTGGCAAGACTTCGGTGAGCTGTTAGATTGAGTCATTTGAAATATGAGTTAAGGTGAACCTCTTTGGAACATTGTTTGAACTCTCTAGGAAGGCGGTAATAGATGGTAGAGATTTGCTACTTGAAAGCTCTCTGCTCTTGGGATTAGAGAGTTAAATTACACAATGAATAAAAATACAAACTGAAACTTAGGATCTTTGTTAATTCTCTAAAGACTTAAAATAGTGAATTATTCTGGCCTCTTGTTATGTTACAGATAATCAGATGGGATGCTCGACATGATTTATTTTGGAGTCTTTTTGTAGGGGGAACTTACGGGATTCCTTGTTCTCTTTTTGTGAACTCCTTTCATTCTGATTGAATTCAGTCTTAAAGGAACTTTGACTTAAAATTTAGTTAATTATAGTGATAAAGATAAGCTTTTGAATGGAGTTGAAAGTCTTTTCATTCAGAATCAGACTTTTAAAGAATTATTTTTTAATGTACTTTATTAACATTTTTGAGGTATTAAGATATATCACATACAGCTATTGTTATTCTTCCACATAGGCATAGATAATTATATATCTTTTAACTCCGACTTTCTTGCTTTTTAAGGCCAAGTGATAGAAGAGAACTAGTCAATATACTAATGAGACATTTTTTGCTAAGGAATTCCCAATAACGTTACTTGTATGGTTGGTCATTCTGTGTTCCGTTGGCTCAGTTCTGTTAAATCTGCTTAGTCTTTTAAGCCTTTCAAGTTAAATTGTTCTTCTGATAGAAAACACAGAGACCTGTGTCAAATTTAACTTGATTGCTAGAGCTTGGAAAAACAATCCTAAACTTACCCTTTGCTTATCCAGCTAAATCTTTCCTATTATCATTTATTTTCCTTAATTAAGGTTCTTAAATTCAGTAATGAATTTAAAGAAACTTGACTTTTTGGAATTTCTCTGTCCAGTGGATTGACTTATACTTTTTGTGTCTTACTAGCTAAAATGTGGTGGTAGACTAAAAAATGGAAATTTAAATTGTTTAATAAGTTAATTATTTTCATTTAGGAGTAATAACTGTCCATGTTAATATGGCCCTAATTATTAACTCCGTAAAATATAGTGGTACTGCATCTGACCTCAACCTAATTTTTCTCTATTGCTTGTATGTTTAAAAATTTCAGTGAGGATTTTATTTAGGCCTTTTCTGACTCTTACTTCTACCTTCTCTCTCTTCACCTTTCTTGACCTGTTGAAGTAGAATAACAAAAAGATGGTAAGTGAGGTTACACACATGCTGTTTGTTTTCCACTTTTGCTTGGTGGGACCGTAGTTGTTGTTTTGTGTCCCCTTAGTATTGGGGAGGGGGGTATTTCTGTGTTTTAATTTTAATTACTTTCATCTTATACTTTCCTGATTGCATACAATGGACCAAACCAGAACTGATTACTAACATAGTTTTGAACTGTTTTCCTTGTGTTTCTTATAGATAAATGTTATAATTAAACTGGAATGTGGTGTGTGCATAACATTAGAAACCAAGTGGCTTTGTGTAGGATATGTGTGATCCAGAAAATTGGGGTGAAGTTACTACATTTGGATAAATTCACTATATTGATTGATGTTAAATTGAACATCACCTATCATACATAGCCTGTATATATATTTGAATCCAGTAGAATATCCTGTGTTTTTAATAAACTGAGTAAAATTTTAATATGCAAATGAAATATAGATAGTAAAGTGGGGGGGGTAGGGATTTCCTATACTATCCCTATTGATGAGCAGAGTTTACAATATTATTTGAGGATGAATTTAAAAAATGAAAGTCTTATAAGGCTTTACCATAAACAATGGCTTTCCCCCCTAAATAAATGTGGCACTTTTATATTTTGAACTAGAAACTTACTGAGTGCATCCCAGACAATTTACTCTTTCGTAATATTTTTCTGTGTTAGTCTAAGTTCTATATTTGTAAGCAACTTTGAAAAAGATGACTATCAGGCATTTCTAATGATATATATATTAAATAATAACAGAAACTTTGAGGAGTTTTCTTTTGAATAAGCAAAAACATTTAAAAGTAGAAATTCCTGTATTTATCCTAAATGAAACATCAGGCCTTTCACTTAAAATCCTAAGGAGATTTGAGAGTCTGCTTGCAGAGAATAATGTAGATTTAATTTCACCAATGTTCTTTAAGGAATTTCTTTCTAGGACTTTAATTGTGGTTTCAAAGTGTGTTTGCTCAGTTTTTTATTTTTAAGTGACATTGGTCAAATGATTCTCGGCAAATATCTATACTGCTTGCTTTTCATAATATATGAATTATTTTGAAACAGTATCTCAGAACAGTTACTATAATTTTTCATTCTTTCAGGTAATAGGTGATGGTTTAGGCTTGAGGTCCATTGATGAGGTGGGTGGTAAAAATCTAAGGCCTGATCTGATCACTTGTAACTTGGTTCTGAGGTATGAGGGCGAGGTTCATAAAGCTCTTAAAATTTTTGGTTTTTTGGAAGTTGAAATGTTCTGAAGCATATTATATGTTTTAGGATTTTTTTAATTATAATTCTAGATGCAGATAAATTTAAGTAGCTTGAGCTACTCAAATTTTGCGCTAACTTAATAAGTTAAAAATTGTTTTCTTCCATTTTAAATGTTGTCTTGTTCAGATACTCAATGCCAGACATTTCTTTCGGTTAGTCCTTTAGAGCAGCGGCCCCCAGCCTTTCTGGCACCAGGGATCTGTATCATGGAAGACAGTTTTTACCAGTCCGTGGCCTGGGGGTGGGGACCCCTGCTTTAGAGTATGTATGTCCTAGAAATATACACATGAGGCTTTTGTTTTTAGTTGGCATTGGGTCAGACATAGGCAAGCCCCTATTCCTGCATGTATTAAAAGTAAATATTCTAATGAGATCTATTGAAATGTTGTGAATGTATATTGATTTATATAAACCATCTAATTATCTAGTGTATTACCTTGTAGAACGCAAAGATATAGTATAAAGGAAAGTAACAAAATTGTGTATTAAATTATATTTGTTAATGGCCAAAGTGATATACCATATTTTGCTGTGTATAATGTGCACCCATGTTTTTGACCCAAACTTTTAGGGGGGGAAAAAATCTTCCATTTCAATGCATTTATTTATTTATTTATTTATTTATTTATTTATTTATTTATTGATACTTGTTTTTTGTATTATAAAATAATTTCAGCATTTATTTTTGAACATATGGTACAAGAAATTTTATGTAACAGATAATTACAAAACACAGCAACAGATACTACTCATGTAGTAATGCGCATCCTTATTCCCCCCTCAAAAATTGGAGGGGGGTGCGCATTATACAAGGGAAAATCACGGTATGTACTTGTACGTATAGATATTTCCCTTAACATTTTATTAAAGAGTGTTTAGGATATAGAGCAAGGTTGAGAGAATTTTACAGTACAACCCATACACATATCATTTAGATTCTGACATTAATATTTGCTATACTGATATAACACGTATTTATCAATCTATCCACCCATCAGTCTGTCCTGTTTTTTGATGCATTTCAAAGTATCGGTATACTTCTCCCTAAGTAATTCAGTATATGCATGTCCTTGAATTCACAAATACGGATATTTAGTTTTGCAGTTCTCTATCAGATGATTCCAAATTGTTGATATTTAAGAAATTTGAGTAGCCCTGGCTGGTGTGGCTCAGTGATTGAGCCCCAGCCTGCAAGCCTACAGATTGCTGGTTCAATTCCAGATGGGGCACATGCCTGGGTTGTGGGCCAGGTCCCCAGCTGGGGGCGTGTGAGAGGCAACCAATCGGTATTTCTCTCGCACGTTGATGTGTCTCCCCTTTCTTTCTCCCTTTCTTCCCTTCTCTCTAAAAAATAAATAAATAAAAATCTTTTTTAAAAATTAAAAAAAGAAATTTGAGTATAAAGTTGTGGTAAATTAACTTTATAAAAGAACTGGTTGCAACACAGAAGCTTTAGAGAACATTTCTAGTATCTACTTTGTTTTACCCTTTTGTTGTTGCTTCAGTAGATATTGCAGAAACCTGTGTGTTTTTTAAAAATAGAGCCTTTACTATGGTTTTACCTCTGATCTTTAAAAAATTTGTTACTTTTGAAAGTTTTAAACTCATAAATATTTAAACCTCTGTTTTAAGACATGTTAATTCTGCTGTTTCTTGTCATTTCCCCATGTTTTAAATTTAAAGTATTGTAGCAAATAGTTACTATATCTGGTGCTAGTTTTTAAAAATTCATCAGCACATATAGAAGTTAGGATTACTTAATATCTTTATTAGCTGATTTCTAAAAGAAGTTAAAGTTCTAAGACATCATTAGCCTTATTTACATACAAAATTTTGCTTTTCAAATATGGGTGATCTTAAGTATGCGCTCATTGGAGACAAGACTTGTGAGTATTCTGCTTTGTGTGTAATAACATAGTTTCCTAATCTTACACTTTAAGATAAAAAATGTTGCTCATGAGTTCTAATTTTAAAGAATTGCTTCCCTGTGTCTTATTTTTTTTATATCTACAAGTTTTCATTCCTTTTGGTGAGACATGTTAAAAAAACTTCATTTCAATTCTAATTTAGACATGTAGGTAGTTTATGAAATTTACAAGTTATATGGTACATATATGCATTATTGTAGTGTATTAAAGAATCATTTTTTTTGCTTCTTTCATTATGCTTTATAATACATACACTTGTCATTTTGCTATTTAGTACAAAGAAATGTGCTGCATGCATTGAGCATTTTTCTACAAGTTTTTTTCCCCCTGATGTGCTATTTCACATATCACAGGCCTTATTTTTTTAACATTTGAGCAAAAAAAACAGATGAAACCTCATACAAAACCCTCCAAAATATGAAAATGTGGGGTTTATTTGTGCTCTTGCTCTTCTTTTGGAAACATATGTATTAAAGGTAAGGTCAATTTACTAATTTAAACCACACTGTACATAAAAATGCATTAAACTTTGCAAGGCATTGTTCTTGAAAGAAAAGATTTTTTAAATTGTGGAATGAAATACTTTATCTGAAAGAGCCACAAAGATTAAAATTAATTATTCCCGAATGTTTGAAATATGGGGATATAATTTTCTGAAGGCATTTTATACAAAATTGGACTGGTCAAAAGCTTTGATATTATAATTTTCTAGGATCTTATGGTTGGTGATGAGGCAAGTGAATTACGCTCAATGTTAGAAGTTAACTACCCTATGGAAAATGGCATAGTTCGCAACTGGGATGACATGAAACACCTGTGGGACTATACGTTTGGACCGGAGAAACTTAACATAGATACCAGGAACTGTAAAATCTTACTCACAGAGCCCCCGATGAACCCAACCAAAAACAGAGAGAAGATTGTAGAGGTAAGTTTCTACATAGGATATGCGTATGTTTCTTTCTTTTTCCTGAAAATGTGCTTTCTTTCACTGTTGTTGTAAAAATAAAGGTAATAAAAATCATTGTTGTTGTCTTCCAGATCCTGTTTACTGAGCACCTAACAATGTGCTAATCATTATGTCTAAGTAGGCTATATTGGTAAATGAAACAGAAGCCTGCTGCCATGGAGCTTACATATAGCAGGGAAAAACAGACCCAAAAAAAGTGATTTAATAATGGAGTGGTTTGTTAGAAGATAATAAATGCTAAAGAGGAAAAAAGAGGTGGTGGGGAGTGAGGGAAGGTAGCATTTATACATAGGGTGTGGCCATAGCTCTGTGTGAGCAGGTGATGTTTAAGCAAAGACAGTACGGGAGTTAGCTAGGGTCTGTGGGGGAAGAGCATTTCGGGCGGAGGGAGGAGTCAGAGCAAAGGTCTTAAAATGAGGGCAAGCCTGGCATTTTAGAGTCAGCGGGGAAGCTAGTGTGGGAGAGCAACAGGAGCTGAGGTCAAAGAAGTAACAGGCCCAGATCACCTAGGTTCTTAGAGGGAACCAGACTTGTACTTTGAGTAAAATGAAGGGCTGTTACAGGGAAGGGACATGTTCCGATTTAGGTTTTTGTGGCTGCTGTGTTGAGAGGAGATCATGAGAAGGCAAGGGTAGGAGAGAGACCAGTTCGGAAACTTTTTCAACTATCTAGGCAAAAGATAACCATTGTTAGGATTGGGGGTAATCGCAGTGGAAGTAATGAGGAGTGGCCAGAAGTGGCTCTGTTTTGAAGGTAGGGCCAAGAGTTTTCTAATGTATTAGATATGGGTAAGGGAGGGGGTGACCCCAAAGAATCTGACTTGAGCAACTGGAGAATGGGTTACCATCCTAAGTTCGTTGGAAAAGACTGAGATAGGAAGAACGCGGTTGGGAGTGGGGGCAGAGATAGATCAGAAGTTCAGTTTTGTACGTGTTGGGTCCTCACTAGACATGTAAGCAGAAACGTCTGTGTGGGGGACGGTGGTTAGGTTCGAGAGAAAAGTATGAGGCTGAGGATATGAACTTCAGAGTCATCAGGGTACAGATAATATGGTTCCCCAAGGAAGCGAGAGTGGCCAGTGGTGAGAGGGCCACGGGCCGGGAGAGAGGAGGAGGGGATGGAAAGGTCGCTGGGGTAGGCAGTTGGAGAGCAAGAAGTCCCTGTTCTTAGTAGTTCGGGTAAGTAACCTTTCAAGGTCGTTTTTCATTTTGTTATATGAGGCAGGAACTTTTAATAACTTTGTATTCCGGTAGCTTTCGGTTACTGCTTAATATAAATGTTTTGTATTATTCTGTGTCTGTGTTTAGATGTTGATGGAAATTTTGAAAGGGGTTTAGGAGAGATTGTTTTTTAGACAATATTTCTAAAGTCTGGGTTAAAACTCAGTTTTTGTATTAAGTGTTTTAAAAATGTGAAATCATGGTTTTAGGTACAGAATCCATGTCATTCTTTATGGTTCATATTTTTTCCCCCTCTAGTTGCCCCTAAAAATGTGAAAGACGGGCTTTGTTATATTAATGTACTTTATTTTATACTTTCTGAATTATTGACAACCACTACTTTGTGATGGATAAGTGGTCATTTGTAATTGCTATTTTTTTAGCAACATATTCAAAATTAGAGCATAGAGACATTTTTGCATTAAACCGAAAGGTTTCTAGACACAGAAAGCTCTTTAGGAATGGGACGTGATGTCTAAATGAAAACCAAAAATGTCTTTCAGATAAAAAGTTAGGGAGATGACGTTATACCTGGATCCCTTTTACTATTTGACTGAGATACATCTGTGCAAAAATAACAAGAATTGGTCTCTATGCTCTAAGGTCTCACCTTATTTTAATACCTCTTTGTTTTTTTCCTTGAGAGTGCGAGTTTGGCTATGGCTAATAATACCCTACTTTAAATCCAGAATGTTGTTTTAGTACTACAAATACTTTTTAATGGTCTTATAAGTAAAAAATTCTCACAGACTTTCAAGTTCATAATTGCAAGAGGGCATTTTCATCCCTGGAGAGGGGGAATAAAGGATGATGGAGTAGAGTACTCGTTAGAATGTCTAGTTGCTTACTGATGAATATGTGTTTCAGAGTTGTAAAATTTAAAATCTGTATAATTGTAATTGTGGTCAGTTGTAAAACTTCTAAATATCTAGATATTCAGAATGGTAGTCAGCCCTACTAGTCAAGGAATGCTTAGTATAGTTGACAGAAAAAATCCTGCACGATGTTGCCAGCCAACCTGAATTGCAGGGAGTGACGCATGATTTTGACTAGAGAGGACTCTAGGAAACTCCTCCCTGGGGTGTAGTTGAGCTGAGAGTGGATCTGCAGCCTTGGCTCAGGTCGGGAAGGCGGGCTCAGCAGCTAGGCAGTTTTGTATCTGCCAGCATTCAGGGGAATTGCTGCATTTTTTTGTCTTTCTGCCCTACTTTTTTTTTTTAACTGCTGGAGGTAGTTTGTCTTTGAATTAAAAGATAATTCTCTTAAGGGACATCAAATACAGAAAGCTTTCTTTCACTCTTAATTAGCCATTAACTAAAACACTCAGAAATCTTTGCTTTTGTAGCACTTAGGAAATGCTTGGGGACTCAGGATGTATCTAAAAATCTGCCCCTAAAATTGGAGCTCTGCAACAGTAGAAGTTAATAGAGGTGAAGAGAGCTGAAGAGAAGGGAGAACTCTTTAAGTCTCTTGATTGTATTTTGGCCAAAAATATAAATAATTGAATATGTAACTTGTAAGCACCAATATTTTTTTCCTTTTGCATTTTCAGGTAATGTTTGAAACTTACCAGTTTTCTGGTGTGTATGTAGCCATTCAAGCAGTTCTGACTTTATATGCTCAAGGTAGGTGAAGCTTAACTTTTAGAATGATCAATGCAGCAAACATTTATTATGTTTTATATCAAAGTAATTTGCTTTTTCAGTAAGTTGTAAAAGCACAGTAATTATATACTTATTTAGATATTTTCAAATATGTATTCAGATATTTTCACAATTTCTAAAATTTGTCAAATAAAATACATACATTTTAATTTCCTAAGTATAAAAGGATTTCTTGGTTTTTAAAAAGTAGCAGGTTCCCTCTTTTAGGATATTTTAAAATAAAAATTTTGTATTCAGTGGAGAATGAACATGGAATTTGCCCTCAGAATTGGCAGTTAAACAAATAATACAGATCTAAAAAGGTTCATATAAAAGCATGCTTGTGAGATACATGATAAATACAAAGAAGAAGGTAGACATTTGGGAGTGCCCTCCTAACTTTTGAAGTATAGATTTAATGAAGGGGGTTACTATGTTTTCTTGGGGCTGCTATGAGCAGCTGCCTCCCTATCTTTCGGAAATAAAACATTGGCCACCCTGGTTGGGTGGCTCAGTTGACTGGAGCATCGTCCTGTACACCAGGAAGGTTGTGGGTTCGATTCTGGGTCAGGGCACAGGAGGCCGCCAGTCGATGTCTGTTGTCTCTCTGTCTCTGTCTCTGTCTCTGTCTCTCTCTCCACACCCCTCCCTCCACCCTCTTCAAATGAATTTTTAAAAACATACTTAGGAGAGGATTAAAGTCTTGGCCATGTGGGGGAGAGCTCTTTATATTTTGATGGTCTTATTGAGAATTGTGGAGCTGTCAGATAGGTACCACAAGCCTTGTTAGATGCTTGAAATGTAAACATAACCTCAAGTCTATCTGGGAAAAAGATGAAGAAACAGATAATTTTGATTCAGCAAATTAGAGAAGGTTTCTGAAGGAGGTGACCCTGAGCTAAGTCTCAAGCCGTAGTACTTAAGCTGTGTGTATGACATACTTAGGAAACACCCTTTAATGTTAAATCTGATTGTATTCGTGGATTAGTAAAAATCACTTTGTAAAAATACATACATACTGTGTTTTTAAAAGTTGTCTTTAGTACTACAGGTAGATACTTAGAAAATACTTAGGGGAACTAAGTGTGGCATGTACCTTACACTCTGCTTAATGTAGAGGATAGGGCAATGTGTAGCTATATGTGGGCATCAAGATTAAGATGAAAAGAAAAATAAAGAATTGCACTGAGTGTTGAGAACGGGTGTTTTTCATTCCTGGGTCTCGGGGTCTGTTTCTTTCCATTTTCTGGGGTAACACATGATTAGACTAAAAGTCACAAGGGACATGTAAGAGAATACTGATTTTAGTGTCTGCATTAATAACACATTTCAAAATAACAAAGAAATGCTGGCTTCTATACCATTACCATTGGTGAAGTTTCTTGTTTGGCTTCTATACTAGTACTTGAAATTTGCTGCTTTGATTTTTCTGATTTGGCATAATATAAAACATCACAATTCTAATACAGGTTTATTGACTGGAGTAGTAGTGGACTCTGGAGATGGTGTGACTCACATTTGCCCAGTTTATGAAGGCTTTTCTCTCCCTCACCTTACCAGAAGACTGGATATTGCTGGGAGAGATATTACCAGATATCTTATCAAGGTAAGTAAAAGAAAATGTAGAACTTAGATTTTGGCCCTGGCTGGTGTGGCTCAGTGGATTGAACAACGGCCTGCAAACTAAAAGATCACTGGTTCTATTCCTGGTCAGGGCACATGCCTGGGTGTGGGCCAGGCCCCCTGTTGGGGGCGTGCAAGAGGCAGCCAATGGATGTTTCTCTCACACATTGATTCTTTTCTTCCTCTCTTTCTCCCTCATTTCACCTCTCTCTAAAAAATAAATTAAAAAAGAAATTAGATTTTGTAGTTTGTGTTTACTTGACTTAACACAAAGTTGAATGTATCATCTCAGGATTCTAGCAAATCTTCATCACTAGAGAAATGGCCCAACTACCCCATTATTCACTTAAAAATCCGTATGAGAGTTATACACATGATCTCAGGTATACTAATGAGAATATATTATCTTATTACATAATTATATTGCTATTCCTAAGGAAGGGGTAGACAGGTATTTCAAATATAGGAGAGACCCTGAAACTGCCTTGAACAACGTAGGCAGCCTTTTCTCCCATAAAACCTTTCTTTGAATAGATATATGTTAAAGCTGTAACCTTGGTTGGGTTGGCTGTTCTTGTCCTTCCCTGCAAAATATACTGATAGCAAATTAATGATATTTGATGAAAAATAGGGCCCAGATGTGCTTGACTTTAATATTTAGTAGTTTTCATGGAATATATTCAATTTTCAGTGTTTACTATTTTAAAGTTTACTTCTGGCTGTAATTATTATTTTCTTTAAAACATTATGTGTATTTTTTTTAATGTTAAAAAAGGTTTAGAGTGTTGTCTGTACCAGAATTCTGTGGTTAGTATATCTTCTCTGGGTCAGTGGCTCTCAAGCAGGGATGATGCTCCCTTACAGAAACATTTTGCAATGTCTGGGGATATTTTCTGGATCTTACAACTGCAAGAATGCTATGAAACATCCTACGAGTAAGACATCCTACAATGAACAGCCCCCACAACAAAGAATTGCAAAGTCCAAAATGTCATTGGTGCTGCTATCGAGAAACTCCGGTGTATGGTGCTATCGAGAAACTCTGGTGTATGGTGGCGGTGTGTGTGCAAAAAATTGGGTTGTGTTAAGTCTTCGCTTCGATGGTGGGTTCCTTTAGTTTCAATTGAGAGTAATAATGAGATTGAGTTAATGAGAGTTACAATATACTTACTCTAGGCCAAAATTCTGTCTTTGGGGTACCACCAAAGGAATTTCCAAGGGGGTTCTTCTGAACATAAACACAAAGAATAGAGGATTTGCATTTTAAGAGTTTTTATATGAAAAGTTCACTGTGTTTATGTGCATATCATGGTTTTTCTTTCTTTTCTTTTTCCTTTCTCTTGACTTTTTATAAGTTTTTTGTGCCAAGCTGATGATCTGCCAGGAAACACAATCTCAATTGCTCCCTATGGTTGGGTTTTTTTTTTTTCCTGTCAGCAGGTTGAATTTTCTTACTCATTTGTTTAACGTGTCATTGCCCATCTGATATGTGTCAGACATTAAACTATATCAATAGAGGCTAGGGATAAAACTTTCTAAGACCTAGGAATATCATGAATATGGTATTGATTGAGAAAAATGCAGATAATAGGAATTTAGTACTAAAATAATATTTATTATTGGACTATTGAATGTTTATCAAACCTGTCTAAGAATAAGTACTCAAACAGTACCCTTTTTAAAAACTAGCTTGTTTAACCTGTTTATTATTTGTGAACTTTTGATTTTGTTACTCTGAAACTTTTCTGTGAAACAAATATAAATTCTTCTATGGCAGAGTACTATCCCTGCTTCTGAAATATTCAGTAAGAACTAAGGATCTACTATCTGTTGCATTTGTTATTGGTGTGACCTATTTAATAATAATAGCTTTGCCAAATTGAACTCATTCAGATTAATTGTGAATTTACTGCTATTTTTTTTATGTGTCAGCTGCTTCTGTTGCGAGGATATGCCTTCAACCATTCTGCAGATTTTGAAACGGTTCGCATGATTAAAGAAAAATTGTGTTATGTGGGGTATAACATTGAGCAAGAGCAGAAACTGGCCTTAGAAACCACAGTATTAGTTGAATCTTACACAGTAAGTATTTCCATATATGTGGTTTTAAAATGAACAGCCATGGTTATTGGTGTTTGCTAAAGGAGGTTTTCTTGGAATCCAGTATTTTTGTTTGGGATTGTACTAATATGTATATGCGTGTCCTTTAATGTCTTCCTCCATTAAGATTCTAGGACCTCATACAATGTGAAATAAAGCAAGAAACATAAATTGCTTTTCCACATTAAGATACAATTAGGTATGAGATGTTATTTTGAGATTCTGTTATGTGGAATAGCATTTCAACATGTATTTTGCAGAATGTTATGTCCCTGAAATGTTAATAGTACTTTACAGAAAATTAAAGTAGGGGTTACATTGTCATTTGGGAGTCAGTTTTGCTTTTCTGCAAGGCCTCTCAGAGCTTTTAATCTGTTAATGTGCATGACTGAGAAAATAGTTTACCTGTTTCTCAGTCTTGTTAGACTGCAGGACTCTAGCATTTCATGGAACTAGAAACATTCTTTGGAGAGTGGTCATACTAGAGTAGTATTGCTTCAATTATTCAGTAGGTGGCAGTCTTTTCCTGACTTAGTATTTTCTTAATCAGATGCTGAAAACAAATGTGAACTTGAAATTGTAACTAATGAGACTTAGAACCTTGTTATAGCTTGCACCAGGGGAGTTGATCCTACCTGAATTTTTAATGTATTGCTATCTTAAAGTCTATCATATTCATCTGGGTATCAAGTACTTCCAGATCTCATCTTTGACCTAGTTATTACTAAAATGAAATTAATAGGCAGTCAAAGCAAATATTCTTAAACCATTTAATTCATGTAAGCTCTATGTATCACAAATATGTATGAAATAGTCATTTTAAAAATACTTTCTAGCTTTGTGTAAGTTACATTGTTTTATTTTTAAAAGATACTAATTCACATAGTCAGCAGTTCAATACTTTGCAACTTAATGATCTCCAGATTTGCCTTGGAGATTCTTTGCCAAAGCTTTCTTGACACATCTTTAGATTTATAACTTTTTATCTACCTTTTTTGGAAGAAAGTGTCATGAGGTAAAGGACAAGGGAACTAAAACTGTAAGACATGTTTTATTAATTTCCTCCTTTTTCAAAGAGTTTGAGGCAAGTTACAAATATGTATGTAACAGAAAAGAAACAGCCAGCTGATAAGTGAAGAGGGGTATGGGTGAACAAGTAAAGGATAGGATGAGATTTGATGCAAAGAAATGGGAATTGTACAGTCTTAACAGTTCGTAGGAGTGGGTAGGTGGCCCCAGTGTGGCCAGTAGCCGGAGTGTCCAGAGAAGTCACACCATCAGACAGGCTGGCAGTGTAAGGTAAAGAGATTTTGCTAAAAACAGTCTGTCATGTGAATTTTTCCAGATGTCTTGAGTGATTTCATGTGGTTTTTAAACTCACCTGCTGGTTTTATTTTTTTAAGGGTAAATGTTTGGATCAGTAACTTTTTTTTTTTTTTTTAAGAAATTTGATAGAATTTATAAAAAGATAATTTTTGAGTTTTTAAAAAATGATTGCACATATCTGTAAATAAAGCACGGAGTAAATGTTTTAAAGAACTTGCTTTGTATGAGTTATATTGGAAAGTCAGTTTTGAAATCGAAATATAATTGTAATTATTATAAATAAATATACTGTTTGAAATGTTAGTATAAAACTAATTCTGTTATCTCAAAAGAAATGTGTCAAATGCAGCCATACACAAGCATCCTTGTTACTTACATCAGTCCAATGAATTATGAGGTAGTTTAAGAGAGGGAGTTTTTCTTTAACATTTGTCCTTTAATTAAATGTAAACAAGACGTGACTAAGGAGTTTCCTGCTCAATGTCATGTAACGATTTCTGACCTGCGTTTCAATCTTATTTGCTTAAATTAAAATTGTATTTGTCCAATATTATTTCAAATTTAATAGGACCTAGTAAGTAGAATACAAAAGAATTACCTAATAAAAAATAGTTTAGATCAGTGTTCCTTATACTTCCATGATCATAAAATATTTTTCAGATTAAATGGTTTGACAGAAGTTTGACATGTGGTATAAAGTGTTTTGCTAGTAAAATAGTTTCACAGAGAAATTATTCAGCGAAAGAAATTATTTAAAATTTTTAATTGAATGTGTTTGTTACATGGTAAAAATATTTATAAAATTGCAAATGTGTTAATAAGAGAAGCAGAGGCGGCATTGACACCAGGTGTGATCGAAATCAGTGGCTGATTGATGCCGCCTGTTGATGCTCGGCTGCACACCAGTGGAAGGGACATCCTGCACTCGCGCATTGGTAGTTTCCTCAAGGAATTCCTGGCACCTTGGGGCAAGACATACCATTTTAAAAAGCAGCAGAGTATGATTGTAAAAACAATTTATCTACATGTATTTTATTTTACCTTTTTTTCAAAAATGTATTTTGGGAGAAATATGTTGCTGGTATGTGTTTAAAAGTATTAGTGCTCTAGAGAACACTGGAAAATTTTTTAATTTTTGCTGACTAATACCTGGTTAATCTCGGTTTCTAGCTCCCCGATGGCCGCATTATCAAAGTTGGAGGAGAGAGATTTGAAGCACCCGAAGCTTTATTCCAGCCTCACTTGATTAATGTTGAGGGAGTGGGCGTTGCTGAATTGCTTTTTAACACAATCCAGGCAGCTGACATTGATACCAGGTATGTTAGAAATGGTGGTTTCAAAGTTATTTATCAGAAATAGATGGAATATAAATAGTTGGAATGACCAAGTTGCTTGTTATCTCACGCACGTTTTTGAATAGATAGGCAAAATAATTTTTTGTTAGGGTGGCAGTCGATGTTTACCACATCATATCCTTGTGTCTCAGAAGCCATTTTAAACTTTTTATTTTGAGGTAATTTAAAACTTAAAAGTTGTTAGAATAATAAAGAGAATTCATGCATATTCTTTATGCACTTTCCTGTTTTACTGACCTTCTACATGTTTATTATCCCTTCTCTTTTTCCCTTGGGCTATTTGAGAGTAGGATGAATGTATAAATCCTCATTACCCCTAACTCATTTTGTAGTTTCTAAGAATGAAAATGTTCCCTTGATAGCCACAGTGTAGTTATCAAGTACAGGAGATTGATTATTGGTAATTCCTTTATCTACCATCCATATTTCAGTTTTGTTCACTGTCCTAATAATGTCCTTTCTACAGTTTTGTTCTTTTCCCCAGTAAAGGATCAAATCTAGCATCACACATCGTAATAGCTGGCACATCTCTTAGTCACCTTTTATCTGCTCCCAGGCCTCAGTTGTTCATCACATTGATGTCTTTGCAGAGTGCAGGCCAATTATTTTAGAGAATTTTTCTCAATTCGGGTTTGAACAGTTTCTCATGATTGGATTCAGCTTATGCATTTGGGCAGAAATAGTGCTTACATGATGTGTCCCTCTCAAGGTATCATATCCAGAGGTGATACCTGACTGTTTCTTATTGGAGATGTTAGTGTTAAGCTCTTAATGAAGTTGCTTTTTTGCTCTACTGTATAGTGTCTTTTTCTCCCTTCCTAATTTATAAGTAATATTAGGAAAAGACTTTGAGATTTTGTAAATCTCTTGTTCCTCTCCAAACTCTGCCCTCCACCTCTTTTCGCATTTATTGGTGATTCTTGCCTGAATCTATTTTTATTATGATTTTTGCAAGAAGGTGATTTTCTAATTCCATCATCCTATATTTTATTAGTTGGCCGTTCTAGCAAAATGAAGTGCTTTTCCTTCTCCCTTGTTTTGTTTATTATCAGTATGGATTCGTGATTTTTTTTCCCCTAGTGGATTATAATTTATTATACTGTATTTTGCTGCTCAAATTATTCCTTATTTGGCCAATTACAGCCCCTTCACAATGGCTTTGTGTCCTTTGATGTGTGTGTCTCCATTCTTTTGTTGAGCACGTTCTCTTTTGGGGCACAACATAGTCCTGGCTCATCTTTAATTTTGGTTTTTGAATATGTAGACGTTAACAATATAGTCAAAACTACATTAAAAAGCATATGTAGAAGTAGTGCTCTCCCCACCCTGTCTCCCACCCTAGTCCTCTCCTCCCTTGTATAGATAGGTACGTCGTCTCAGTAGTGTTCAGATTTATCCTTTCTGTGGTTCGTATTTTCTCTTACACAGAAGATAGTATACTATTAAATATTCTTGCACTTTGCCTTTTTTTTTTTTTTTTTTGCTTATTGTATCTTAATCCTATGCCATTTCCTAGACATTGTCCTCATTCTTTTTTCCGGTTACATTCATTCCTTCCCCTCCTCCCCCCAGTGTATTTGTACCGTAGTTTATTCAGTGAATCTTAGTTGGTTAGGTAAATTCCATTATTTGTGTTGACAAATAAAGCTGCAGTCAGTAACCTTGTGCACACTCTATTTTTGTAGTATTGGGCATGTATAGCCTGAAACTATTCGTAGAGGGGGAATTTTGGGGTCAAAGGATAAATGTATGTAGTTTTGTTATTGCTCATTGTTCCCACCAGTAACATAGAAGGTCACCTGTGTCCCCACAACTTGTTCATTTGTCAGCCTTTTTACTTTTATGCTGGTCTGATGAGTGAGAAATGGTAACCCAGTGTAGTTTTATATTCAGCTTCACTTATGAGATAGTGAAGTTGAACATAATTTTTCATTTTTATATATTCTTCTGGTAAATTATCTGTCCATGGCTTTTGCCTGTTCTATAGAATTTTTGTAATTATTTTCCCTTGGTTTTTAAAAGTTCTTTTTATATTAGCTCTATGTTATCTCTTACAGATATATTCTCCTAATTTACGATTTGTCTCTTGCTTATGGTGTTTTTAGCCATACAGAAATTTGTTTTTATTTAGTTGTATAAAAAAGATATGTAATCTTTTATTGCATCTAGAGTTTGAGTCATAGTTATTAGAAAGATCTCCTCTCCACAAAGGTTATTGAGGAGTTCACTCAGGAGCATTTTGTAAAGCAAGTGATTGCTTACTTGTTTATTTAACCCTGAATTAAATACCCACCTAATTTTTGTGGGATGGCTGGGGAGCAGGATAACAATGGAAATTAATAAAAATAGCAATCGGCTTATAAAATTATAAATCTAATGAAAGATGATAAAAAGTCTAATCCAGACATCATAATTATGGTAAATTCTCATAAGAGGAATTAGATAGATGCTTTTGTCCTTTGATTTAATGATGATTAATAGCAAAATTATATTTAAAAGTGCATTCCTATTTAGGAATTAGGCATTCCTAAAACACTGGCGTCAAGTTCAGTACCCTCTCCATAGACCTGGCATTGGAAAGTAGCACAACTCAAAATTCTGTTTCTTTATGTATTCTGTATATTCAAAGTATACATATAAATGCTCGTGGGTGCATATCACATGTAGCCATATTTCAACTGTTTGGCTTAGGCTTCACTAAAGTGCCTACTTCTGCAATTAAAAACAAAAACACTGTTCTTCTCGAAGCTAGAATTAACAGTAGCCCGAGCCACTCCGAACTTGGAAGTAAAAACATGGACACCATTTTGAATGAAGCCAAAACAGATGTGACTCAGCTCCTGAACTTTACTGTGAGAAAAGTTCCTCAACCCTCACTCAGATTATGTTCCTTTTACTACATGTGCAGTTATTTTAGATTTGATTATTTCATATCATAGCCTACACATATTTAAGGAAAGAAGAGAGGATTGGTATAGGAAGCTAACACACCAATCTAACTAAAAATAACATCAACAGCCTCAAAGCAAAGGGACAAAAGGGGAAACCACAAAAGGCAAATGGAAAAAGAAAAGCCAGGACTGCAAACATAGAATATGCTTATTAAACAATAAGCATTTCAGAGGCTGCAGGGAAGCACTGTAATAACACAGCCCAAATGCTGGGAGTTTGTAATACAAACTGGTCATTACTTAAAGACTAAATTTCATTTGCAAGAAAATGTGTCATGCTTTAGAAGTTTTTCATCAACGTTATAACATGTGAAAAGATTTGTAATCAAATAACAATAGTAATTGCAAACATTCAGCTCTGATTTACATACTGAATTTCATTTAATTCTCCCGGCAACCTCCCTGAGGCTGACATAAATAACAAGAACTCTTGAGATACTGTTTTACTAATCCGAATCCCCAAATGAATACCTATTGTGTCTTTCTAGATCTGAATTCTATAAGCACATTGTGCTTTCTGGAGGGTCTACTATGTATCCTGGGCTGCCATCACGGTTGGAACGAGAACTAAAACAGCTTTACTTAGAACGAGTTTTAAAAGGAGATGTGGAAAAACTTTCTGTAAGTATCAATCAATAGTCCAATTGTTAACTTACTTTTAAAACCCAATAGAGTGGCTTTTTCATCTTGACAGCCACCAGAGGGCGCAGAAAGTCTTTCTAAACAAATTTCTAATGCAGTCAAGTACAGCCTTAAAGAGATAGGAAGAGCTCAATGGTTCAGGGTCATAAGCTGTGTCCGAGAATGGTTATACTCTGTGGTCGCCTGTGTATTCAGTGGATGGAAATGACTAGGTCCAGGTCCAAACATTTTAGATTGTTTTACAAGTAGCCTAGAGTTGAGTTGTCTCTAAATGTATGGGAAGAACTTTCTGTACTGTGGAGGGAGAAATACACCACTTGGTTGGTTTTGTTTTGGGGTGTTTTTAGTAAGCCTTCAGGGCTACTCCTGGACTGTCTCGTATTTCTGATTCTCAAGTTATTTTCTAGCTATTGCACGTGTCTTACCTCCCCAGATTATAAAACATTATGTCTCCAATTCTTTTGCATGCCGATCAACTATCACAACTCCTGAAACAAATTTTAATTGGTAGTTGTTGATGTGTATAGTAGAAGGAAATTTTTTAGCTAGTATGTAATCATCGATAGTTGTTTGACATTGATTTTCTTTTCTATAAACGGCACTGTGTGAAGTGCATTATATACTGTGCTCTCAACCAATAGTCGTTTAATTCTGAATTAATCTCTGAGGTTTGTCTCACTGACTTTGATCAATTGTATTAGATAATGAGATTACACATTAGAAGAATACACATTGGAGACACTAATGTTACATTTCTCATATGTGACTCAAAATTGGTGCAATTAAGTTGAGTATGAACACATACATTAAACAAATTAAAGGCCTGAAAAGGAGCCATATTGTCTAAGTACATCACTCGTCTGATTTTATTGCAATATAAATATAATTTAAAGTCAGTTTCAGGTGATCATTTATTCAGCATATGAAGGGTGGGGCAAAAGTAGGTTTACAGTTGTGAGTATGTGAAACATAGAATTTATTCTTATATTATTACTCATCAATTATTTTCCATATGAACAACTAAATGTCCTACTTTTGCCTGTTAGCCCCACCCTGTATTTGTTGAACTCCTGGGAGGCAAACGCTGGCCTAGATGCTGAGATAAACAAAACAGTGGTAAACAAAAACTAAATCCCTGCTTAAGAAGAATATATCAGTAGTAATAAGCACTCAGAAGAGAGGTAAAGTAAGGTTGGGTTAGAAAGTGGTAGGAGTTGGGGAGATGGTGTGTTCCTTTACGTAGAGTGATCAGGGAAGTCTTCTCTGGTGAGAAAACTTGAGCAGAGACTTGAATGGAGTGAGGAAGTGAGCCGCATGACTCTGGGGGAAGAACCTTCTAGGCAGGAACAGCAAGTGCAAAAGCCCCAAGTCGGTGGGAGCAGGCAGGTAGGGCTGGCGCCTGTGAGCAATGGAGAGGGCTAGAGAGTGAGGTCAGAGAGGCAGTCGGGATGCAGGGGGTTTTCCGCCACAGTAGAGTTTGGCTTTACTGAAATAGAAAGTTGGATTTTGAGCAGAGAAACGATAGGATGTGATTTGTTCTTAAAGGATTGTTAAGTCTGGTTTGAATAGGCTGTTGAGAGAAGGGAGAAAGATTAAGAGGCTCTGAGAGGAGGGAGGAGGTGGCAGAAAGGAGGAGGAGGAGTGAAATGCACTGTCTTGGAGAGTGGGGGAGAGGAGAAATACAGGGTCCGGCAGAAGGCCTGCTTGAGTACGGTTGGTGGGGCACTAATATGGGTGTAATAATTTATAGTTTTAATTTGAATATTTCATCTAAAATGTCATATGATGTGCTTCAGTGTGATAATGTTATGTTACAGAATTGCTTGCGTATGATTTTGTAATAAAAGACTTTGTAATTAAAAGGGGCGTTATTTGTGCCAGACCTGTCTAAGGGGGTTGCTGAGCAGACTAAGAGGCTCAGTTGTACTAAATGATATGTGTGAAGTCTGATGCTGAGTTTCTCTCCTATAGTGTTCAGTTGCTTTAGGGCAGGTGCAAGTAGAGAGCTGATCACCTGAATTGCAGTTTTGCTGAGTGCATGTGAGAGAGAGGACAGAGTCACCAAGAATAAAGTCAGGAAATGATGGAGAGGGCACACGCACCCAAGTAGTACACGCAGGTGTGAGGAGCCTTCATCCTGGGGACCTATGGGTGACTTGGGCCAGGAGTCGTGGATGGAGTAGCCTGACAGGAGTTCAGGGCTGGGGAGGGGGGAGGGGGGAGCGTGTGGGAGAAGCCGCTGTGAAGAGTAAGAAGTCCTGTTATCAAATCTCCACAGTCAAGAAGGTATGTGAGAGAAACAGCAGCCAGCTGAGAAAGCTTCAAGGGCAGCAGTGTCTTCAGGGCAGCCCCAGCGTCCCTTAGGGCAGGACTGGCCAGGCCACAGCCTGGGGCCAAGACCGGCTGTTTGGTAATAGTTTTTTGGGAGCACAGTCAGCACTGTTCTTTTATATAGTGTCACCTATCGTCACGTACTGTCTAGCTGCCAGAGAGACCCGCAGAGCTTCAGGTATTCACTGTCTGGCCCTTTATAGAAAAAGTTTGCTGATCCCTGCCTAATAGCAAAATAGTAATTCAAACAATTAAAACAGGTTAGCTTCAGAGTTGATATCTTCTGTTTTTCTATGTCGTATATTATCAGATCCTCCCGTTCATTTATGTGACATAAAGAGAGTTTAGCATAGCATGGTTATTTTGAGCCCTTTTGCAGGATTTGAGACAAAACTGCTACATCATTTTAAGATTTCTCTTTTTAAGCCTTAACTGACCATACAGATTGAGGTGTGTCCTTGTTAGACAGTTAATACTGACCATAAGGATGACATTTTCCAACTTGTCTTTCATTTTGGTTACTTGTTCATTTTTTTCAATATTCCCATGACTTATTTTGACTGTATTTGATTTTTTTTCATTCTGAGAATATTTTATTTGAATTTGGTACAGTAGAAAGTGGGTTTTGCTTATAAGAACTTAAATCTTTCTCTGTTGCTTGAGACTACAATCATAGCAGCTTTAGACCTTGAAACCATAGACATCCTCTTATCCAAACTCTTCATTTAACAGCTAGCTGGCTCAGTGATTGACCCCTCGGCTCATTCGCCATCCGATGGGGAGAGCTGCCGCAGACAGAACTCTGGTATTTGGGCCCAGAGGAGGACACTGGTGATAGGTGCTGTTAACAGTGATTGGGTAACAGGTGTAAATCAGGACTGTTTCTAAGCACATTGGCTATGAGTTTTGGGCAAATTACAGAATGTCTCAGATACCAAATCCTGCTGTCCTCTGTATATCACAGGACTTTGTGAGAATTCAGCAGGAGAATATATGAAAAAGTCATTTTTACAAAGCAGAAAGCACAGTGCACATGTGACATTTTATCGTCTCTTTCTTCTTTAGAAATTTAAGATCCGCATCGAAGACCCGCCCCGCAGGAAGCACATGGTGTTCCTGGGCGGCGCAGTTCTAGCAGATATCATGAAAGACAAAGACAACTTCTGGATGACCCGACAGGAGTACCAAGAAAAGGGCGTCCGCGTGCTGGAGAAACTCGGCGTGACTGTTCGATAAACTCCAAAGCGTGTTCCCATCACACCCCTAACGCTTTCTTTTTTCCTTTATTGCCAATCTTTGAACTCACTAAATTCCAGGACATGGAAGGAGGGCCTCTCTTTGGCCTTTGACTGGAAAGGTCAGGTTTTATTCTGGTGTCTTGGGGAAGCTTTGTTAAGTTTTTGTTCAGTGGGTAAATCTGACTGTTTAATTCAACCACTTCCTTACAAACACAAGGAGAGGGCAAAGGGTCCTGTCTGCTGCTTTGTTTCTTCCTGTAGGCATTTAGATCATTCCTGTAGGCTTCCTATTTTCACTTTACTGCTCTAATGCTGCTAGTTTTAGCACACTAGGTGGTATGCCTTTATTAGCATAAGAAAAAACTACCAGGAGCTTTTACTAGTTATTGGGGTGGGGGTGGTGAGGGATGGGTGGGCAGCTGCTGAACCCTTTATGGCATTTCCTCTGTAGTGTGGCGCTTTCAACAGTTCTTGGTACCGTCTTAAGTACCTTAAAGCTCTAGTATTAACATTTGAGAGAAATATTAGGCTCAGAACTAAAGTGTTTTGTGTGGATTTTTGTGTAGGGGTGAGGGGATGTTGTCTTTTGATTTTTTTATTTTTGAGCTTTGTTGCTCAAATAATGAACCTTATTTACAGTACTTTGATTTGGCAGGTTTTCTTTTACTTTTGGTCTGCCTGGAACTGTTTCTCTATGGTACAAAAAACCAGGATAGTATCCCATTACCATGTGGCTTAGGGATTTGATTTTTTAGCATCAACCATGTTATCTGGAACTAGACTCCCTAAAATCTATCAATGGAAAAGTAACATTTTAAAAATACTGTTGGCGATTTAAATTACAGATTTAAAAAGTCCTTAAGAGCGGGTGTTTTCTAAGTGCTTCTTCTGCTTATACCAGAAGCATTAAGGTAACCCAGTGCCAAGTACCATACTTGCAAAAAAATTATTCTTTTAGTAAGTAACTGACCAGTGCTTATTTAATAAAAACAAGTAGATACATATAAACAACTACTGGCAGTAGGTTATAATTGTGGGATAAAAAATAACATTGAAATGTGGGACTTGTTGCCAGTTGGGTGATTTTCTGTTTGGTTTGATTTGAAACCTGGAAGTGGAGTAAAATTTGAGTATGTAAAATGTTGGCCAGGAAAAAGAAAATCAAGATTTAAATTTGTATCTGTACTGAAAAATTAATCATAATGACTAAATCTCAGCCATCCTATGTTACACTTGAAAGAAAGAGATTTGGTAATTTTTAAATGTTAGCAAACTTCCCTGCCTATTTCAGAAAATCATATTTATGAATCCTGTCAGAATTTCTTGGTATCTGAAAAAAATATCAAATAGTACTCAGGCCTGAATTCTTTCTAAATTCGAAAAATAAAGTAATAAATTGTATTGCACTAAGTACAAAATGCAGATTCTGAAAAAAATGTTTTTGTTTTTTCATTTCAAGAAGATTTTTATTAATGAAAAAAGAGCTTTGCTTTGAAAGGAGAAGCTTTTTTAAAAATTTTTTTTGGATAACAAATTGGAGAAATTATTGGCTTCAGAAAGTCTCTTGTGAGAAAACTGAAAAAGTCAATTTATTTTAGTTTTCATTATGCAGCTTCTGTTAATATTAAGTATTTTTTCTCTGTTTTACCTCAATTTGAACAAATAAAAGAAGTTTGCCTGCATGCTGGACATGCTTCAGTACATGTGAATAGCCTATGAATAACATCTACTAGATTTTAGGAACCTGGATGTCAAGAGTACTTTGGAATTCTAAAGTGTTCCTGAATCATGTTCTTAGAAATCCCCCCAGCGTTTTGAGTACTGGACTGTCTAAAGGACACAAATATAGGACCAGTACCAACTAAGCTGTTCATTTCAGGTAAATGGATTGACTCTTGGCCCTTGGCCATGACTTTATAATACGGGGGCAGAAAACAACAAAAAATGGGATGGGCTCTTAAATAAAACAGTGGAAGAGCATTTATCATCTGTCCCTTGAATGTAGAATCTGGTTTTAATTTCATAATCTGCTAGCAAACATGACATTAAAATGGTATATTAATATATATAGTATAATTTTAAATTTTCATTTTATAATTTTCCTATTCCAAGATGAAATAATGCATTTAGTAGTTTGGGGGGTGGGTGGGGGCGGGGGTTATGTTTAATTGGAATTGTCTGGTATGAGTTTCTCAAATTTTTTCTATTTTAAAAGAGATCTGATTTTTAGCTCTTAAACCATTGTCATTTAAATTTCCAAAAATGATTAAAATTATTTTAAAATTAGAGTTACCAATACCTTGACCCTATATTTAAATCTTTTTCTTTAAAATGTGGTATTGGACGTTAACTTTTACACAGTTCTGAGCCCTGTTAACAGTATCAGGCAAGTATTTTGAGAGCTCAGTGGCGAGTTAAACATTCTGAACTTAACATGACTACACTTTTTGATTCAGAAAATAAAATCAGATTTTTCAAAGTAATTTGAATTTTGTCTGTGTTTTTCTCTTTAGTTTTTCTCTTTAGTTTCATTTTCTTACATTTTTATTTTTGGTAGTGCAAATGGATCAACAACTGTATGCTAGTTGTTAGGCCAAGTTCAGTGTTCTATTATTTGACCAAAAAAAACCCTCTTTAATTTCTGGTATGATTTTAAACACAAAAGAAGTGGAAGGGACAAATGAAATAAGAGCAAATTAGAGCTACAGCTGTATTAGAGATTGTTTTTTTCCTCAAGTAGAGACTGTTTAGTTTCCCAGACAATATGCTGTGGCTTTTGCAATAGTAGGAATGGTAGATAGACCTGCATGTAATATGCCTCTTTCCAAGGATATTTCAGCTCATCTGCAGACTTTTAGGTGTATTATTTTTAACAAAATAACTAAAGAAGGATGAAAATTAAACTGACCCTTTGTTGCTTTTATACTTGCCTTTGAGGATGGGGCTGGGGAATAGACTCAGGTGTTTGTGTTTCCTTCAGAAACTGGCATGCTTGAACCCCATTGTTACCTCCATGGCCAGAGTCCCCCAGGACCTCCTGAGGTTTCCCTCTGGTGTCTTATTCAGCCTCTCCTTAGTTGTGGGACATATAGTGTGACAGCTTTCTCCATATGTTAACAGGAAGAAAATATTGGGCACTGCATGAAGTGTCTTTGTGGATGGAATGAAAGTCTCAATTTTCTTCTTCACCCACTGTACAATTGAATGCATTTATTAACTCTACTAATTTTAGAACCTGAATCAAAGAAGATGGTCAATTAAAGTGAACGGGAAACTCAAGGACTGATTTTAATTCAGTATTTAACATGCTGTCCAACCTTATACTAACTGGCCAGCTGCCCACAGTACATGGGGTATTTGTAGGTTCATTTTTTAACTTCAGCTCAAATTTTGTGACCTATTAAAAGATTGAAAATGCTATATACATCAAAGGTAAGTGGCAGAAGTGAGGAGTACCTGGGAAAGCATATTCGTATCTATTGTAAATACTCCAATTTGTGTCATGTACAGATGGAAGATCTCTGACTGGGTAGAGGGAATCCAAATGATTTCTCACTTCTCTTTGGCAGAACAATTCCTGTCCTGCCTCGGTTCCACACTCAGTTTCTTTCACCCACAAGAGGAAAAAAGAACTGGAAAGGACTGCAGATAATTTTTCTTGAAAGAGAAGAAGTACTTTATGTTTGTGTTGATCAGTTGACCGGTTTAATTTGGGAAGTGCAGAAACCAGTCACAAGGTTAATACAGTATAGTTTTCAAGTCCACGTTTGACTCCTGAGAACAGTGCCTTCTGCTGTTAACCATCAAATTGAGCTTTTGCCTAGTGAATGCCTCCCCCCGCCAAATTAGTGAAAAGAAAACTACTGAGCTGCTTTGCCCTTCCTTGAATGGGGGTTTGAAAAAGCGGACTCTGACTCAAGAACAATAATTCTATTCATAAAAAAGATGATAAATATTGATAAATATTTGAATTTATATATTTTGATATTTAACTACAATTTTTTGAAATACTATCAAATAAAGATGGACATTTTAAGCAATTAGTTCAGGAAATTCTGAAGTTAAGACCTGCCACAATATTAGTTCACTCTTTTTGTTAAATGAGTACCTTGATAGTGTGCAGGGGTTGGGATTTCTTTTTTTTTTTTAGACCTATCAAAAAATATGCATAAGATATTTCAAGGTTCATCTTACTTTAGGAAACTAAGGATTTCCAAGTGAGAATTATATTAGCAGCCCTTATTTACATATTTCATGCCAACTTTGTGCTTGAAGAGTAAGAAATTTGGCCTCAAATGTCAAAAATAGGTTGATAATACACACTTGACCTTTTGATTTCAAATCATCAATATACCTACAAATGTTTGTGTGTTTCCTTAGATTTACATAGGAAGGCTTCTGGCATTAAATTTAAGAACTGTTGAAAAAGGAATGTAAGTTTGAAACTTAAAACTGGTGATGAAGTACAATTCAAAGGGCCTTGATGATCAGTTAGGGAGGCCAATTTGCTTGTTTTAATTGAGCGATTTAGGTGGGATTTAATATGTTACATATCCTACAGGAAATGATGTAGTTAGAGTATAATTACCTAAATTTTAAAAATAGTAAAATTTGCATTCAATGTCTTTCTCAGTATGAAGTCCAAATCGTGTGGAGTGTTTAAAAGTGGCGGTTCCCAAGCCCCACAGTGGACCTACTAAATTTGACTCCAGGGCTGAGGATTTGCTTGTTCTCCAGCTGCGCTGATGGGCCTGACCCCGCCAAAGCTCTCACTCCCCGGTGGTAGGATATTAATACATTGTGTACCGCATAGAAATCTCTAAGACATAGGCCAGGGTCGAATGACCAAAATACAATGTAACTGCAATGCTTTATGGGTTCGTGCAATTACATAGTTTTTTGTAGATTGACCTGCACGGTTTCCACCAATGAGATTGCTTCATTTGATGTGGACAAGACAGTGTGTTGACATCTAAAGTCCATAACAGATGGCGCGCAAAACACGAGAAAACCTGTGAGCGGTACGCAATGTGTTAACAGGGCAAACAGGCTCCAAAGTAAGATCCACTCCCCCCGGGCCCACACCTTCATGCCCTTGCCTCACTCTCCTGCAGATTTTGAACAAGTAGACTGAGCAGTGCTAATCTGCCGGCATGCTCACCTCCACGGCACCTCCCCAAACAAACCCTCAGTTCCAGTGGGTGCCTCAAAATGCAAATGCCTCTGGGAAGGTTGAAGCACCATCAGTCATTTACCCATCTGTGTCAACTGCAAGAGAGTTCAGTGACTAAAGCTGACACCTAGTGAAGATAAGCGACTCCAGTTCAAGTGAAGGGAAGGTCTGCAAGTTGAGCCTAAGAAGTACATTGGAGACAGCAGGCAGACTCCAGAGGAAAAGGAGAGAGCTCAGTAGGGCAACGGAACTTTAGGGACGTGTGGGTGGGTGTTGGGTGCTGGAGGTGGTGAAGTAACTAAAGCCAACTCCTGATTTCAAAATCATTCTTAGAGACATTTTCACACTTCTGGCTGGCATGGTCCCCAGCCCCCTAAGTTTGAGTTAGTACAGCTTGTGCTGCAATTCGGCTGCTTGATGGATTAAGATGATTTATAGTCTGGCCGAGGAACCCACCTACCAGATGTAGCTTTACTTCTGGAGAGGAAATATCTGTTTCAATTTACATGCAACTAACACACAAATGAACTTTTGGATGCAACTTGGAGACGCCTGTCTATCCAGTTGCTCAAGTTCTGGTGCTTCTAAGGTATAAGCCTAGTTGGTTCCCAAATTTGAAAGTCTGTGATTAAGTAACTAGCTGCAGGTGAGTACCTGAAGGAGCTAAATGAAGTCACCAGTTGCAGGTGAGGAGGTGGTTAGGTTTCTAGTGCAGGAACCCTCCCGAGGAAGGAGTTGGATGAAGCCTCTGGGTGAGTAGGAAATAACTTTTATCTTCTGAAACTTAATTCTACAACCATACAAGTTAGCTTTGGCATTCTCTCTAAATGAAGAGTATGTAGTTGATGCTGGATGCATTTTCTTGCTCTTTGTTTGCCTGCATATCTTATTCCTTTTCACCGTGAAAGCGCCTCTTAAATTTTCCGTTTCACTCTAGAGCACGCACCAAATAACCTCCAGCCTTTTGGGCCCCACCTCTTACTATACAGTTAGCTGAAAATGCAGATTTTTTTTTTAAGTCTTGTTTTTCATGAAATTTGTCCAAAAGTGGAAGTGTTTAATTGTGCGTAACAGCCAACAGTTGTTTTAATGACTGCCGTCAATAAATTTCTTACGACTTAAAAACTGACCAGAACTCGCAAGGTCCCTTAAAGTAGAATGCTGTTCATAAGGTGGATTCTTGGGGTATCAGCATCTGCTTTTTGCCTTTCTCAGACACAAGGTGAAGGTGGTACTAGGAAAACGGTCTTCTGACTTGAAGCTATCATTCTTTTAAAATGGGGTGACACTTTTATGTTTATTTCTTTAGTTTTGGTTAATTCTACCAATCTCAGAAGAGAGTTGGCCAAAAATTATCTTTCTCCTTTCCATTTCATATATGTAGCACTCTTTCATGTCTTCAACTTTTTTTTTTCTGGTCCATACCATTCAAAAGAATCTAAGGTTTGTGACGTAAGCCAACAAAAATCCTCCCAGGTGCTTAAAAAATAATGAGAAAGGCTTCCTTGAGCTTTCTAAATGAACTTTGTTTTGTTGCATTCGTGGGTCTCTTGAACAAACGTGAAGGGAACGATTTACATAATGTAATTCCCATGTTTTAAGAGTCTAAAGAGGCTTGGATATATGGAGCTGGCTCCCACCCCGACCCCGCTTGTGGAATCATTGAGGCAAGAGAACTTGTGAGTATGACCCAGGTCACAAAAACCTTTGCTGTTCCCAAGTTCCCTAAAAATGACAGGATAAAATGAAATACTAAAGGGCAAGTTTTCCTCTTGGAAGGCAGGATTGGCTAACTGGCAAACCTAAGCTGGATGGTAGCTTGGTCCGCTAGCTGATTTTATTCAGAAGCTGGAACCGGAGGGACTTTTTCCACTAAATTTTAATACAGTTATTACTTTCAAGAATATATCCTGTTTTCTTCAGGCTAGGGGCTTGTCTGCTAAAACAATTAACTGTGAGGCAGACAGGGAAAGAATTGCATCTGCAAGGGCAGGACAGAGCTAGGAAAAGAGGAGATAAACCCCTCGCTTGACTCACAGCTGCCCACCCTGCAAGGAGCAGAGCTTGCCAAGAATATCCGCACTGATTTATGGAGGAGAAATGAGGAAACCATTTACCCCAGATATCTTGGATTTGTGACAGTGTCGGTGTAAACTATTTCCATTTAAACCAGGAGGGAATTCAGAGTCTCCGAGGTGTTTCTTCTCACCCCCATTCTCCTCTAGCGTTTCCAGCAGCCTCAGACCAGGGGTTGTCTAACATCAGGGTGCCTGAGAATCTTCTAGGGA